CCACATAACTGAAACCTCTGCTATCATTTCTGCAAGTTACTTTGCAGTCATCTTGGTTTTTTAAAAGTAAAATCTCACACACAGAATGCCTTGTGGGGAAAAAAAATGTGGTAGGAACTGTTAAGACTCCAAAAGAAACTTGCAATTAACCACAATTTTATGCAGCACATTTTTCAATATTTTTATCAAAGTAAAATGATGAAGTCTCTACAGGTAGTTGAAATCAAACCAGAGAAGTGGACATGTGATGGGAACTATGCTTAGTAACATGAATGAATTTGTAGATGCTGATGAACTATTGTGTTGTTTTTTGGGGTTTTTTTTTTTTTAAGAGAGAGAGAAAAATTAACAATATATGGCTTGTGTTTTTAATATTGTGGTTACACTTCAAATCAGGTCTGGATAGGTCATTTGAAATACCAGTTTAGTGCACAATGAGGGTCTTAAATGTGAACATGTTATTAGGAATTGCATGAAAGAATAGGGAGCGTGGTATTGAACCACTACAGTCATCTGTTATGTTTGTGCCAAATACTGTGCAGTTTTAGCAGTCTTTCAGAGAAGTTATAGAGGTGATCGGGAGCATAAAATAGTTTTATGTGAAGAAAGATAAATGATTGAGGACTATCAAATTTGCAAATCAAATGATGAAGGGGAGATAATAGGCATATGTTAGACACTTAAACTCATAACTGAAATAAAAAGATTAGGAAGCCCTTTCCAGTACAGGAGGTAACGCTTTGGTACAGCGTTCCTGAGCAGTACAGCAGTGCTCTGGAACTTCTGAGGATTACACTTTTTTTTGTTCTTTTCCCTCTCTAAGATAATAAACCCCACAATTTAACCATTGCAGAGTGTAATAGAGGACAAAATCAAGAATTCAGAAAGGAATTTGATATACTTCAGGAGAAAAAAAAAAAACAGAGCCACAGAGTTGGTTCACATGAAGTACAAGAAGTTTGTCAACAGTTGATTTCTAGGAGCTGGTAGGGCATGGAAGAAGATACACCATGTTTATTGTACTTACATTTTCCAAAAGTGTTTATGGCTTTTCTTGGGTAGCAGCTGTTGGGGATGGATATGCCTCTGTACTGATTAATTTGTGTGTTCTTACATCCAGTCTCAGCTGGGCTGTCAGGGTGCATTTGGATGTCCGTTTTTCAGCAGCAAATTTGAGACTTGACTCTGCTGGATTTAGATGTGGAAGAAGCAATTGTCAGAGGAGAATGAGCATGAAGAAATAAAAATAACAGTTATTGAGTAATGAGCATCCTCTTTGCCGTGCATTTCAGGACTGTCCTTTCTAGATGAAGCCATCTATCTAGACATTCTACATCCTGCCATCTGCCGCAACGGGTAAAGTTAGAACAGTTTGTCATCTTTGGAAACGTTGTGATGTATTTATGAGATAATTTGCATGGAAAGATACCCTTGTACAAAACGTGGTAGCTCTGAGCCAAATTTTCGAAATTATTTACATAATATTTTCTGAATGATTTTGGCAAAGAAATTCTGTGTGACCTGCTTGTAAGTAACTCCAGACAATACTTCTTTAAAATTTAAACTATCCGGATTATATGAAAGTAAAAATCAGGTATTGCTTCTTCTTGATAGGTCTAAGCATAATTCTTAAAAATTGCAAACCTGAGCTTGATTCCTTCCATTTTAAAAACACTGCTTGCGATTTGCACAGCATTTCTAGGTTGTTGGCACTTAGTTCATGGTTTTCCACCCTCTCCCTTCAGTATGTGGTGATGTTCTTTCAGAACATGAATTATTAACACTGTAATGGGTACAGAAACATTTTTTATAATGTACGTTGCCTTTCTGGTTTTATTACTATCACTTTGGATATAAATCCCTTTATTGTTTCTAAACAAATACAATTTGTTTAGAAATAGCATGCAATGGAGTCTTATTAGGAAAAACAATCCTGCTATGCTTTTTCCTACTCTTCGGTGTCAGCTTCTTCCCTTACCTCACCAGTTCTGAAACTACTTTCTCTTCTGATGCTGCACTTGCAAGAAAGATTTCCTTAATGTCTGTGTTTCAGGCTGATTCACACAGGAATCTTCAGTGTCTGTCTGTAGGGTTCTGGTTCATCAAAAGCTGTCAAAATGTGCTTCCATGTGAGCAATGCTATGCCAGTTGTCTAGGAATAACTTGTAATCCATATTCTCTGTAAACTTTTCTTTAGCTTTTATATAGGCTGCTTTCAGCACTGGAAGTGGTGACGGTGCACGCATCTCCAAAATGTCAGTCTGGGGGGGAAAAAAGGAGAAACTGTTGTTGTCGTCAGCAAACACTAATTGCTATTAATAAAACAGCATTATAAGCTCCTTCTATCTTAAGGTGGCAAAACATCCTCTGAGGAATATAAGAAAAAACAAGATATATAAGAATTCCTTTTTAGGTTGAGTAACTTCTATAAAAACTATAATCATGTTTCAAACCACTTAGTCAGTCTCAAACCACTGAGTCAGTGATGATGCTAGAAATATGCAAGATGCTACTGACGTAAACACAGGCAGGAATTTTATCAGGAGAGATGAGAAAATAAAGCATGGAGTGTTTTGTTACAGTCATTGATTCTGGTTCTCTTGTGATTTCTAATGGCATCTGTTGATCTGTTCATCTTGTGATTTCTAATGGCATCTGTTAACTAGTGGATGGAGAGATTGAATGCTTTGGAAATGCTCTTTCCCTTGATTCTGAGGTACTGTCATCTTAAATTTCCTGGACGTGTTCTGTTTATCCTAATGGCAAAATTTTGGGGGCTGAATCTGTTGGTGAGGGTTACGTCTGAGGGATAAACACTGATCAATCTTTAGTTTGGACTTCATTAATTTCCTGATATATGTGTTTGTAATTTTTATCAGCAATTAACAATTTGTAGTTATATTTCAAATATTAATTTCCTCAAGATTTAACAACAATTGTGTTATGCAGTAAAACCTTAGGATCCTAAATACAGGTCTTAATTTCTTTTGTGCAAACATATACTTGGCTGTAATATTGAGTGAAACTGGTGCTCATCTTTCTCCTCTGTTCATTTCTCATAAGATGTATGGAGCACTGTATCCAACATAGGACTCCCCAGTGCAAGAAGGACATTGGCATGTTGCAGTGAGGCCACCAATAAGCCACTTATGGTCAGGAGGCTGGAAAACTCACTGTACAAGAAGCTGAGAGACCTCAGCCTATTCAGCTTGGAGAAGAGGCAGTTTTTGGTTTCTTCAGAAGTTACCAAAGAGATGGAACTAGGATCTTTTTGGAGATGCATGGTGATAGAATTAAAATAATGATAAATTGGAATCTGTAAAACTGTAAGTACTAGGGGGAAAAAAATATTTTCATAATGTTGGTTAGTTGCTGGAGGTTACCCAGAGGGGGTGGGGTCTGTCCTTGGAGGTGCTCAAGACTTAGACAAAGTCCCAAGCAGCCTGATCTAATTAGACCTGCTTTCTGGAAGGAGATAGGCTGGATGACTTTGGAGGTCCCTTCCAATCTGGATTATGATTCTATATGGCTGAGATTCTAAAAACTGTCCAGAAAGGTTTTACTCCTAAAACTTGTTGCCATTCTTCCTTGAATGTAACGGAACATGGAGTTGAGAGTATTTTCCATGTCCTTACATGCAGGATCTCAGATTAATTTGGTCTTAGGAAAATGGCCAGGATCATGCTAAGTGTGCACCATGATACAGTAAACTGAACACCTTTGGGACTTAAGTCATCTGAGCTGGATCATACTAGGCCTCATGACTGAAACAAGTCATTTGGAAGAAATCACAGCCCCGCTGCAAATCTCTCCTATCGTCTGTGCTTTGAAAGCAGATTTGTCTCATTAGAATGAATTAGTAATACAGTTGTCTATTGCTATGTTTAAAGAAGTATGGCACAGTAACAGAAGGATCATCTGATTCTTAACCTGAATTGCTTAAAAATAGATGCGGGTGACTGATTTTATTGTAGTAAAATAATGTCACAATATATTAGTTGAAGTAAATAACCTAAAATGTTGACTGCATCCTGTTAAACTGTCTTGGTGGAACTCTGATGGCTTATTCAGTGCAAGTTTAGTTTAGCTTAATGTTATCTAAAATACAGACATGCTCTCAAGTAGGCCTGTCATCTTGAACATGTGTTATTGTGCAAGCTCTCAGAAGAAAGAGTCAAACATGGCAAAAATGTTTACCAGCAGTCTTGCTAAAGAAATGTTGTGCTCTAGCTCTATAGGCAGACTCTAAAGCCTTCCAGGTCACTCACAATAAAATTTATCTTATTAGATTGTGAACAAATATTTCTCAAAGGTAGGTGCTGGAACTTGGAAGGTCCCAAAATGTTTTGATAGGTGACTTTTAAGGCATTCTAAAGAAAGAAAATTAAGAAAGCTTAAGAAAATTCTAAAGCTAGCAAAGGAGGCATAGCCATTAAACTAAGAACAAAGCTGTGTTACTGCAGTTCATGTTTATACAAATAGTACATCTATGCTACAGTACACGAAAATGATTAATATTTAAATGATTCACAAAATATTGCAAAATATTATTTTGCAAGATTGCTGTATAGAATTAATCATGCAGATACAGTAGTGGTTTAGGAGACAATACATATTTACTGTAAAGTTGTTATTAAAAAGCAATAAACACAAAAGCCACCCACACATTCAAAAAGGAAAAAACGGGGTGGGGGAGGTGAATCCCTGCCTAATAATGATTGCTGTGCTTTAACCTGTTAGTCAGCTAAGCAGTGTACAGCTAGCTGTTTGTTCCAAACCAAAGTGGGGTGGGGGAGAGAATCAGAAAAAGATAAAACTCGTGGGTTGAGATGAAGACAGTTTAATAGGACAGAAAAGGGATGGATGATAATAACAGTAATAACAATGAAATAATACACTGAATGAGTGATACACAATGTAATTGCTCACCACCTGCCAGCTGATGCCTGGCCAGTCCTTGAGCAGTGGCAAATTCCTGTCCAACTCTCCCTCTTTTATAGATTAGCATGATGCCATATGGCGTGGAACAGCCCCTTGGCCATTTTGGGTCAGCTGTCCTGATCGTATCCATTCGCTGCCCTTGCTGGCAGGGCAATATGAGAAGCTGAAAAGTCCCTAACTTGGTGTAAGGACAGCTCAGCAACAATTAAAATGTAAGTATGTTAATGACATTGTTCTCATCCTAAATCTAAAACACAGCAACATATCAGCTGCTGGAAAGAAGACCAACACTATCCCAGCCCAAACCAGGATAAAGAATCAGAATCTTTGGAATACAAATATTCATATTTATTTCTTTCCTGCTTCTTTTTGTCTCAAGACTTCGTACAGTAAAAATGCTCAAAGGAAAGTTAAGAGCCTGTGAGGCTGCTAAGAGGTTGGTGAGAGATAAACGAAAATAACGTTTTGGAAAATTAACTGTGGTGGACCCGAGAGAATCCGTACGTGAACTGGGAGCAATGGGAAGCAAGTTTGTTTTGAAACTGCCACATTTGGAATCTGCTCAAGTACAAGCAGATTGCTTTATTTCATAAGAATCTCTTTAGCTACTCCCAGCTCCTTCTCTTAACAGCCAGTGGTGTTACGTTATCAGAGGTTGGGACTGTTACATTGATGTCCTGTGACAGCGCTTATTTCAAAGATGGAGTATGTTTTTAACTGCAAACCTTGCTCAGCACTTTCTCTCAAAGGACCTGTTTTGCTTCAAGATATTGTAAGTTGTTAGACAGTTAACTGACTGTTAAGAACAAGCAAGTAAAGTAGGTTTTTCTACCTACACCCTGCTGCTTTCATGTGTGTGGCTTTTATTATTTATATCCCATGAATATTCCAATGCATGCTTCTCAGACAGCTGGGGAAAGTAAGATATAAAAATAAAGATTTTATAGTTAAAACATGAAATAACACATTCCAAGGTCAATGCTTTTGCGTAGGAGAGGTTTTAGTAAAGATTTTAAAGCTGAGCTGAATAATATGTGAAACTTAACAAGTAACAACCAGATGACTGTCTTTGTCAGCTGTTTTTTAAACAAAACACAATGTAAAAAAGTTCAGAAGATCAGGATGTCAGGCCTCGCTCTTCTCAGCAGAACTCTCAGAACCGTCCACCAAAAGGTTTTGCTTAATGTGGAAATCTTCTAAAAAGAAAAAATCGGATAATATTTTCACTGGAAATGCTACAAGTGCACTATAGCTGTCTTGATATTTAACTCAGGGTGGATATAATCCATCCTATCAGCCACTTTTTTCTTTCTGGGTCAGAGCCCATCAGCTGATGTGCAGTTGTGTAACTCTTTAGCACAGCATGTTCTGATTACGGAGCTGTGTGCTGTGGGGAATGTCATCCCTTGAGGTGGCTGGGGACGAGGGAAGCCTGCAGGAGTCAAACCCTTGCTGCTAAGAGGTGCTTGCTCTTAAGACATCACAAATCTGGATTTTTATAGTTTCCAAACTGGGCGTACTGCATAAGTAAAATACAAGTCACTTCATGTATCTCATAACGACTGTAAAGGCTGAAAGTGTTGTGACTAACATCATATTAAAAAAGCAGATTTTTGTCTTTAAAAATCTTATGACTTTGAAGTCCTGTTTCAGACTTGTCTTACACACATCAATGTTCTCAGTCTTAGGAAAGATAGAGTTGGGCTGAAAATTTTACTGCCTGTTGAGGGGGTTCTAACTCACAAGTTGTTTGAAACCCAACTACTTGTGCAATACAGGCTGCAACATAGAGGTTTAAAATATAGCCAGCTTCAGGGGCTTTTTTTTTTCCCTGACAGAAATACTGCAGTTTCTCCAGAATGAACCAAATTTTGCATTCCCTTGAGACCCTTGATATCTGTTCCTGACAGCCCTGTGGAGCAGGGTGCTTCATAGTGCTTCCATGAGAGCTGGAAGCTGCAGATTACTCATAAACAAGTCATCTAACATCCATCAGCAAGCAAAGCCACTTACTGGGATATTTTACCTAATAATACAAATGACTTATTTGAGAATTACAAACCCAGTTCAAAATAAAATCAAACTAGCTCTGCTGCAGGTCATACTCTGAGATTCTTAGCTTGCTAAATCATGGCTTTTACACAGAATTCTGCAGCTCCACATCTAATTCTTTCACTGCCTTACTACCTGTGAGTGTCCAGCTGAAGATACTTGTGAATGATCATCTGTCCAGATATATTTGAAAAAGGGTTTTTAAAAAATGACTGTCCTTTGGCTACAGGGTGTTTTGGTTTTTTTCTTTTTATGTAGTCTCCATTCCACTGTTTTAATTTCTCTGCCACTGCTGGAATCAAGAATTTTATGAAGTTGAGTACAGGTGGGTTGTTACCAGCGATTTTGCCTGCAAGACTCATTTATCTTGTTAAGCTGCCCTGCGAAAGCACTGCCTGGTTAGATTCATCTGTAAGAAAGGAGCTGTGAAGCTAGCTCCTTTCTCGTGCTGCGCAGACGGGTGTGCACTTTGTGCTTCATGTGATTCATCATCCCAGGAACTGTCTGAGTGTGTCAGCTGCGGCCAGCGCATGGGGAATCCTTCAATGAAAATGGCTCTCAGTGATTTCTGGAGTTAGGAGTGTCATATGAGAATGCGTCAGAGCAAAGCAATTGGTACCATTTGCACAATGCTATCAGTGTTTTGGAAGTAATATTCCTTGGATCGAGACAGAGAGAACAAGATTACTTGTTCTTTATTGTCTCTTCGTCTGTCGAGTTGCCATTTGATTGTTGGAAAGCATATTAAAACAGGGAAAATATATAAGAAACACCATAGAAATTGATAACGCTACAAAATATTTTTTACTTGGGTTAGTTGAAGTGAAAGCAGTATCATGTTTGAAACCTCTTGGAAACCTCAGTGTTCACAAGTGCTCTTGTCTGTGTTTATGATAGTGCAAAACCGTACTTCATACTAAGCTGCCCAAGATGCTGATTTGAGTGACTTTTAGTATTCCTTACCTAGAAAGGAAGGAGTTGGGACAGAAAAACAATTGCAGAGGGGAAAGTCTGCTTCACGTTTACTCAGAATCCAGGAAAAAATTCGGAGGGATTTCAGAGAAAGTGTTTCCCTAAAAGGAAAGGGAAGACTCTGTGTCATTGGAGACATTTGTTTTCTTTGTTCTTCAGTCCCAGATTAGGGGACCGATAGATAGATGGTGTCTGCTTTGGCTCCCCTCTGTCCATGTCACCATACTGCAAGAAGGCTTTGTTCCTTGCTCTGTGGAGGAGCTGCTGTTTAATGATTCTTGTTTTGAGATACCCGTTGCCAGTATCAACTAATCTACAAATGCTGAACAGATTTTTAGCTGTCGTTAGAATGGCAGTGTAATAAATATCAGACCAACGGTAGTTAAATATCTTAATTCCTTTTTTATACAGTTGAAAATTATTGGCTTCAAATGCTTATACTGGGATGCTGGCTATTTTTCATCTCACAGGGATTTTAGCAAACAGACCACACTTCAATATCGTGCAAGAATGTACTACTTTTCCTTATGTTATTCTGGACTCAGAAGTCCCATTCACTTGTTCTACTTTTCATTAAAATCATGCCTCTCTGAGAGATTGCTATGTACAGATAGACAAGCCCTTTTTGCATGATCATGGTTTTATCTTGGGTAAGCTGTTCAGTGCTACAGACAAAAAAGAACGGAGGTAAAATAACTTTTATTCTTATGATTTGCTACTTCCTGTATTAACGCTTCTGCCATGCTGTGCTGAAAGTCAAAGCCCTGTAGTTATAAGCTTTGGGAAGCATCTCCTCTCTTAGATAAATAGACCTAATGGGTATCTGACACTGTTCCAAAAAGAAATAAGTATCAGCAAATCACTGATTGCTTGCATTCTGATCCTATGGCACACTGGGATGTGCAGCTCTTTAAGTCATTCATGTACACAGCTGAACTAGAAAGCATCCAAACTAGTGTGCAGTGATTCTGGGGAAAACAAACAAACAAACAACAAAAAACTTCTGATGCTATACCTCTCTACAGTATTCTTTTCTTGTGAGAATCCTAAAACAATTTAATGTGCCTGCTGATGTAAGGAACCTGAAGATTTCTGGGACACTGTTGTAACCTTGAATCTATGCAACAGGAAGTATTATCAGAATGTGCTTTATGCACATCTTTTGTGTGGTTTCTTTTATACAATCAAACAGTATTGATATGAGGTTAAATAAGGATGGCTGTAATAATAATTAAAAATTTATTAGTATCTGTCAATAGTTTCAAGTGGTGAAATTTTGGTAGCTGTTCGTGCCCTTAGAGAAACTGGAGCTTGTAGATTTGATATTCCATCTTGACTGACACATGTGTTACTTTGCGATAGGAGGAGAAAAGGGCATCATAAAACCAATGGCCAGTCATAGACTTGAAGTATTGTGCTGCTGGTTGGTTGGGTTTTTTTGGACAGTAAATAAACAATTTCATTTTTTCAGTGTCTGTATTTTGTTAAATCTAAAATTTATAGTAAGCAAACTTTAAAAGTGGATTATAAAAAAAAAAAAAAAAAAAAAGTAAATAATCAAGACTAGTTCTTCTCCAACTTTAGTATTTAGGGAAGCATTATAAAAAGTGAAGTCAAGATGCTTTCCTCTCCAGACCTATAAACACAGGTATCTTTTTGTTGGATAAAGTCAATCTGATACAGTCTTATTACTACTTTTTGCTAAGTATCCCTGTTTTCAAGTATGTGTTTTGGTGCAGGAAGACACCTGCTTGCATTCAATGTCCCAGGAAGCGCAGAGCTCTGCTCTCTGCTGTGTCTTGTTCTATGACTTTTCCTCTGCTTCAGCCAAATCTTTGCCTGCCTGGGCTGCTTTTGCCTTTAAATCTCTTGAACTGTGTGTCTCTGGCAGTTGCAGATGAGTTGGGTTCTTTCAGAAGGGCACTGTTTGTTTGGTCTGCTGTCTTTATTGCAGTTGTGCAGCTTACATTTAGTCTTGCGTACGTTGCCTCTCTACAGTGTAGTTTATGAAGTACAATTTGGTGCTAGCTTAGAAGAACATTTTAAATTTTCACTCTTGAACCTGAGAGTTTGTTGAAAATTAATGTAACCTTGTTAGATTCTGCATGTTTTGGACTTAATAAACTAGTTAAGTTAACAAGTGGATTGAGCTTCCCTCTTGTGGCCACACTGTGTAACTAAATACATTTGATAAAATACATGAGTTTAATCTTGATACTCTTTCATAGAGATATTTCTCTGACATCTCTTGAGCTGATTGCTTGGGATTTGCTGGTTTTGGAGGCTTTAATTTTTGCCCTTTTGTAGGCATATCTTAAAATGACAGCATGAAAGGAAAAGATGAAACAAAACAATAAGATCAACTAAAGAAGATTTAAGGGAGGCAATGAGCAATAGATTGTAATAAGTAGGAATCTTTTTCTGCTTCTGCCACCTGGGGGAAAAGTCCCACTTCTTTTGTCTTGGAACTCCTTCTCTCAAGTAGGCAATTTGCGTGTATAAACTGTTGACCATTTCTATATTGGTTAACATTTTCTGTCCCTAATTTTTCAAGGTTGATGTTATTTCTTAAGTAGGTAGGTGGGGATTTCATTGTTTTCTTAAAAATACTGCCTCTTAAATTAACTGTGTTATTAACTCTGCTTATAGTAGTCACCAAAATGTCATATTTGGACAACCTTCCAGGCTGTCATTTGTTTAGCTTTCTGAACATCTCCGTGTCTTCTCAGCATTTATACCTCCTTTTGGAGAGAGCTTGAAAATCAAAAGTCACACTCATGGTTTGAACTGAGATATGCAGTGAGACCAGCTATAAGGTGTGTTACTGATCAGCTGAGTGCCTGTTCTCTGTTTGGGAAGCTGCCATTATCTGTTAGGGAGGAAGGGACTGGCAGTAGGCATCGTAAGCAACTCGTAACTGCACACGTTACTCAAGTCTCATGTACATGGAGTTGAGGTGATATTATGGAAGATAAAGCAATAACTTTGAGTCTATATTTACTGCTGTTCTAGGTATTGTGTTGAAAACCAGACTATATGCAACTTCTTCTTCTTGTCACTTTGCTGTTGCCTAGAGTTCTGCCAGCCTTTGCAGTACCAAGTGCCCCTGCTCCACTAAATGAAAGGAAACCTTTGCAAATTTTCAGGAGACAACTGTACTTGCTATACTTTTGCAGCCTTTCCTGCTCTGTTGTATCTGATCATTTGATCAGGACCATGCTACTTGCACTTGGAGGATTTTAATAATACATACATTTTATAGGATATTTTGAATAATTTAAAAAAAAAAATCCTTCCAATGTACCTGTGACAGTGAGTCCAAATTGAAGGTTAAAAGCCTCTTGACAATACAGTATATAGGAATATTTTGTGGAGTCTGAATGTAAACAGAAAAAGAAGTATGATTTTCCTCTCACTCATCATTAAGTATCAAGGTGATTTTTTTTCTACTGACTGTTGCTTTCCTGGTTTAGCTGTAATAGAGGGGATAAAGTCAAATCCACCTTAAAGAGAGATGCTTAGATAAAATTGTACAGTGGGGAAGTTATGTCACAAGTTCACACGATCAAATATTATAATAACCTAATAAATGCCTATTGTAATAACCTAATAACCAATATTGCCTATTGTAATAACCTAATGAATAGATGGCAGTTAAAGGACTTTATTGCTTACCTGGTAAAGTTTTTTTTAGAAAAGTAGCTACAGTATATAGAGTATCTGAATCACTAAATACCATAAAGCAAAACTTAATTACATGGAGATAGAATGTTCTCCATGTTGTTCTACCTCCTTCACTAACCTTTTTCTAAAGCTTTATGCATAATCAATAGGAAAATCAACATATGAACTTAACCAATATTAGTGAGCAGGTGTAATTTACTGGTTAGTAAAGACTTTACCTCTGGGGGGTATTTTGGATAATTATTCACGAATCAAAGGTAGTCTCTGTAGCATTAACTATTTTTATCCTTTTGAAAGCACTCTCAATTTACAGGGCATTTAAAAAGATGGCGCAGCCTGAAAGGAGCAAAGTCTGAATCACAGTATGGATCCTGGGGGCAGAGTTACAGTGACAAGTCTCGAAATAAGCCTTCTCTGTGTTCATGGTAAGATGTTGACACTACATCCTGAAATACTCACCATGTTAGCTTGGAGTTGCACATTTTCAGAAAAAATTTGATTATAAAAGGTTTAAGTA